CTCGGGGGGGGGGGCCCGGCCCTTGCCGGCCCCGGCTCCCCCCGCCTCTGAGGCCTCCTCTCGAGCTTGGCCCAGCTCCTACTTGGACACAGGATAGGGGCAAGGGCACAGGGAGGCCCTGCCCTGTCAGGAGGGCTGAGGAGGGCTGGGCAGGCCTGGGCTGCTGGGGCTCCCACTGCCTTTTTTGAAAGCATTCTTCTCCCAAAGTGAGGCCCACACCCCACAGCCTCCATAGTCCAGCAAGCGACCCCAGGGGCCTTCCACCATCGAGGCCCCAAGCACCAATGCCCCACAGCTGCCTTGCCCATCAGCTGCCTGGGCCAACACAGCCTCCCTCTGTATTGAGATGCCCTTGGGTTTCTGCCAGTGCCAGTGGCCTGGAAGCTGTTCCTTGGGCCCGGGTAGAAGGGGCCGTGAGATAATCCCCCAGCTTTTCCCTCCTGGCGGGTCAGAGAACGAGCTTGGCCCAGGCACGGGTGCAGTGTTTTATGCAGGTTCTCTGTCATTTGACAGCATTCTCTTCGACAGATGGAACAGGAAATAAACAGAGAAGGTAGGAGATTGCCCCATGTCGCAGCACTACTGCTTGGTAAAGGGAGACAGGTTTCCAATTCAGAGCCCAGCCCCCAGCCCCCACCCCCAAGCCTGTCACTGGATGCCTTGTGGGCAGGGTACCCTAGGACAGAATACCTAGCCTGTCACCAGGGCCTCACCAAAGACTATCCAAACCACCCAGTCCCAGCCCCCAGCCACGGGGCTGTGCCCAGACTGCACAGACACGCAGAGAGCAAATGGCCTTCATGTCTTTGTTTAATGGCCAGTTCGGTGCCACCCAGATAATGCCAGGCCCCAGTCAGGAAGTGTCTCCTCCTGCCTGATGTCCCCTGAAGAGCCCACCCAAGCTGGTGCCCTCTGCCTCAGCAGCAGCGTCCCAGTCAGTCCTGGTGTAGGCGGACAGCCTCATCTCAGCTCCTTCAGCAAGCTGTTGATAGAGCCCAGCAGCTCCCGGAAGTAGCCTTCGTCTTCACCAGCCTGTAGCTCCAGGGTGGCCAGTGCCTGGTACTCAGCCTGCAGGTTGGTCAGCACCTTGCTGAGCTGTGGGTCCTGACGGTAGTGGTCCCGGCAGGTGGCCAAAAGGGCACCCAGAGTCTGCAGCACCTTTTCACGGGCATCATGCTCAGGCAGCGACAGGAGGTGGGCTGTGATCTCGCACCAGCCCTGCTCCCGCAGGCCTGGCAGGAGGTGCACCTGGCGATACTGCTGCAGCTTCTCTGGGGTCGTATCCTGGGTCAGCTCGGCCTCCTGTTCAGCAAACATCTGCCCCAGTGGGAGAGAAAATACAGAGGGCAGTCAGCGCTACCTTTCAGACATGAAGGCTGACCCTGGGGGGATCCCCATCCCCTTGGGGCTCCATTACCTCATGGGAGAAGGCCAATGGACTGATGGCATCACACATGCAACCCCACCCATCTGTAAGTCTTTCCACCTGGTGGTCCATCCATCCACCCACACATCAAAACACCTGTGCACTATGTAAGGTGCAGGAGACCAAGATGGAGACCTGGTCCCTGCTCTGACTGGGCCCAGGGTCTGGCAAGAGAATAAAAGTTAACACTGAGTAATTGCTAAAAAGTACCAGGAGCTCAATCTAATAGTGTAATGTGGGGGCAGCCACGCTGGGTTCAAATCCTGCTTCCCCACTGGCTAGCTGAATGACGGGCTGGCACTCAGCCTCCCTAAGACCCCATGTGTCATCTCTAAGTGGGACTGCGGAGACCCTCCAGGACTGTCGGGAGGACTCAAGGGCGTAATGACTGCAGCCCGTGCCCAGCACACGGCACACACTCGACAAATGTGAGCTCCCACAGCGAGTGTTCTTACAGCACATCCACCTCCACACGCATTAGTGAGTTCAGCATCCTCATGGTGTCTTCTCTAGCTCCCACTACCAGTCACACTCCCCATCACCCCGTCTCCGCATCCCCTTCACTCAGATCACAGTGCCCCTGGGCCTGTCTGTCCTGATCACAGGCCTCCTCGCCTCCCGTGCTCTGGGTGATGCTCTGATAAATGACGGTGTGAAGGCGCCAGGAGGGCAGGGATGTGGACTCTCCCTAGTACCTGGCACAGCATAGACAGGGCAAACACCCAGTGACACATGTGGAAGGAGCCTGTGGGCAAGCCTCGGGACACACCAGAGGACATGGCATCACGCCTCTGTAGGGGTCCAGATGTCAGGACACAGTCTCTTAGTACAGGCCCTGTCACAGGTCAAGGCACAGAGGAGGAATTGCCTGGGGCTGGCAGAACATGGAAGGGACATGCCAGGGACCCCAGCAAACTGAGGGTGGGTCCACACTCTCCATGGGAAAATACAATTCAGCTACTGGCTCCATTGCCAAGGCCTTGAGGTGCAAGGACCCCGCGGGCAAGCTGACAAACCCAGTGGGGCTACTTCTTCACTCTTCCTTAGGTACCACAGGGACGGAGAAACCCTGACTGCCTCAGCCACAGAGTATGGTCTGTCCTAAAGCTCTCTGGCTGAAACTCCCCTGTCCTTCTCCCTAGGGGAGGACGGTCACTTGTGTGCTGTTTGCAGAGTCGCCAGTCCCTCCCAATCATGACAGCACTCCAAGCCTCCACAGCCAGGCTCCTGCAGCCACAGGCTTCAGGATAGACAGCCTTGGTGAGACCACTAAGGCCCATGCCTAGCCCTGAGGCACCAGGGCTGGGAGCAGCAGAGACACACTCAAGTCACCCGAAGTGAGGAAAGAGATCATTTCTCTTAGGAAATGCCATGCCAATGTACATGTCCTTCTCCAGGCTTGCTGGCCCACGCTCAGGATGTCAGCCATGCCTGGGCCTTATTAATTGGATCTGAGCACCACATGGCTGCCTGCTGTTCTGAGAAACTGGGTTTCTGAAGCTTGGACCAAGAACCTAACAGACTGAGAGACAAGATGGGGAGAGAAAAGTGGACCGGGGCTGAGGGGAGTGAAGGACAGAGTGGTAGCCATAGACAAGCCTGACCCTCTGCCCAAAAATGCAGGCCTTGGCAAGGCACAGAGCAGGCCAAGGAGCAGCAAGGAAGGGTGGGCCC